CATTTTTTGCAATGCTGTTCGAGCCGTATGCGGTGTAGAGTTGTCACAATGAAACAACACTTTCTTGATAATCACCAATTTTTTGCGTTTTTTGATCAATTCTGAGTTTAGACGGCAAAGTTGTTCACCATAAACTGCTGAATAAATCCTTTGATTTGCTTCTAACAGTTCAAAACGTCCTGAAACGGGGTACATCATCCATGCTGCTTTTTCCAACTTTAAATTTTTTTAACCATTTCTGAGCAGTCCTTACAGTAATAGTGTGTTCACCATGTACACTATTAATTTTTATCCCCGCAAACCTGGCCCACCAGCGGCCGAGCGGTAAAGTCGCTGAACACTGGTAGTTCGGTCCGAGGTTCGAATCCCGCGAACGGGCTGGCTGCATGGGCGTTTTCGTGGTTTTCCCCATGTGTAACGTGTATACGAGCCAGTTTCGCTTAGAAAGTCCTCCACGAAGGCATCCCTCCTCTTAGGCAGATAGCCCTTGTGTGCTTTGCCATAACTCAACACACCAACACCAACCCTGCAAACCTGTCAGATTCACCACACAGAAATAAAAAATGTAGCCTAGCACGTTTGTACTGATTATCTATACTCATCTTCTATGGGTACTAAAATGTGTTCGATATTTACGAAAGTTGGTGATGAACCGAATAATATGTTAGACAAACGATGACAAGTTTCAACAGGATCAAAATTGTATTGTTTTAGTAAATGCGTCATCGTGAATTCCACGCATACACTTAATGCGCACGAACTTATGAACTGACCCGATAAAAATAAAAGCAATAGGTGAACTATTTATCAGACTTCAGTTAAATTAAAAACTATTCAAAATAACAATATATTAACATACTTGTTTTATTTTCTCTGAAATAAAAGTACAGGCAGGAACTTTCTTCGGCAAAAGTTATCGCAGAAGAGATTTAGAATTAAGCAAGATGGATTTCAGTTATGAAATTACTCCTATATTTACTCCATTTAAAGAAAAGAGAAACGTTATATCTGAATAATAAACGTTATATGTAGTTGCGCTAATTAATGCTACTTTAGTATACGGTAAGTAGTGTTATTATGCAATGAAATATTGCGAAATATTTTTTAAAAACTGCATATTTGACTTATTTTTCTTGGTGCTTACGTATTTGCATTGTCTTCGAATTTTTAGTCCAAATGTGTTAGCTCAGAAGGGATTCTCGAAGAATCACTTTTCAAATTGTTGTCACCAAATATTATCGCCCTGCATTATTTTACAAGAAATTAAATAAAGGAGAATGTGCATGAATGTAGGTATGCTTCTTGCATTGTGTTAAAAAAACGACGGTATCTAGAGCCATCAAATTATGAATAATGTAATCTTCTACTCGAATATGGCACCAGCAAGCCAGAATTTTGAATTTTTTTTATTATCTATTTCACACTTTTTAAATCTTTAACGAATTTTTGATTAACATACTCAACAATTTCAAAGCGAGCAATAGCACTGTACAGAATACACATTTTATCTCCAGCGCGCAAGACTGTCTATCGGAGAGTTTAAAGATATGTTGTTTTTAAATATTTTGATAAAACATTTAATTAAATAGTAGTGATACTGCTGCTGAATTGAATTTTATTTTGTTTAAATGCAAAGAACATGATGTTTAATAAATAAAGGTAAAATACAAAATGTAAAAAAAAAATGCTCATTTGTGTGTAATATAAAATCTGAAAGCCTGACATTTTTTTTCTTCTTTTTCCCTTTCTTTTTCTTTTGGGAGGGGGGGGGGTTGGCTTGCTTGTTTTTATTGTAACAATGGTCATAATTTTTAAAGTAGCAATATTTATTTAAGAGATCAAAAGCTGTTAAGCGGTTCCGCTTAAAACGTGGCAATTTTTATTGATAACCAGATAACAGACGCAGAACTAGGTAACAAAATGTCCCACACATTCTGGATCTTATAGATATCAGATTATCCGATTAAAATTGTTAATACCGTGAAAAAGAATTTTTTCTCGAGCTATTGAATGTACCTCGGGATGGAAAAGCATTGCATGTAGTGATTCTGTTCATGCATTTAATCAATTAAATTTATAATGATCACTGTTTTCCTTTAAAATCTACCTTACTGCCAATGAAGTCTTTTCAAATAACATTCGAATGCCTATCTACTTCAAAACTTTCTCTTAAAAAAAGAAAAAAGGAAATATATATATATATATGTGTGTGTGTGATGTACCAGCTTTTGTCCGGAATAAATAGATTGGTGAAGAATCATAGATGTAGTCGTAGCTTAAATTATCAGACTATAAGTTTAAAAAACAGGATCCATTTATTATTGGTCAGGAGAAATAGCAGTTACAAAATCAAATATCCGGAGTAAATAAAAAAAGATTTATTAATAACTTTTTGTATGAGGTTTATTGCATCGTTACATTAAAGAAAAGACTCCCAATATTCCTTTGCGAGTCTTTTTGTAGCCTCTGGAAAGGCGGAGCTTCAAAGAAATGACGTCAACCAATCCAGTTCGCATTAAATATTTTCAGAACATTGTATAACTGTATGTGTAGAAAAGGCGGGAAAAACAACTTGACTACGGGGCTGTGAATTTAATTCCACGTATTTTCAAATAAGAGACCGTCACCATTAAAAAATGAAAAGAACATACAGTTAGAATTTTAAGCAAGTAGCTTAAAATTCTAACTATTGTATTCTTGACTGTAGAATTTTATTATTACATATATATATAGATATAATAAGAATATTGAGTATCTCTTCAATATTATATTTTTTCAACAAATTTTACAATTGCATTTAGAACTTCACTAGCCGCACGCCAGATGATCACATGAAATGCTAGTAGCGCCATCTTACGGCAGGAATTTCGCTGAAATGAAGCCGGATTTGAGGGTGTTCGAACTACTGAATGCTGCATTATCTGACTTTTACTCCATTGAGTATTCTTTTTTAAGCTACTTGCTTTACGCTAAGGTAAAATGTCTACTAAAAGCTTCCTGTCAATAAATAATAGTGAACAAATGCTGACTAATATACTTTCCACAGCAACTTCGTTTTGAATCCTTAAGTGCTGATAAGATTGATGACTTCTGAGAAATAAATACGAGATTATCAGACTGCGAGAACTACTGTTCACTCATATTGAACCCCAGATATTTATCAACTGTGCTCCGAACTGTTTAGTTTTCAGTCTTCGAAATTATGGAGCATAATTTTACACAGGTTTAGCATGAAAGAAATAAACAGATGAAATGCTGATGGCTTTTATCGGGAAGTACTTAGTACCATTTTATAGAGAAAGTCCAAAAGTTTGGAACATTCTCTCCTTTCGTTAGTCTTCATGATGTCAAAAGACAGTCTTGACATCCCTCTAACAATATGGCAACTAATCAGACACAGTGTATGTGTTTAAACAAGCAAAAATAGATTTCGTTATTGTTATGAGGAATCATTTTACAACGCAATATGGATAGATAATCTAACTCGGCGTTGAGCGGGCTGTCCAACAGATCACAGGGGATGGCTCTGGGATGTTGGCCACCAAGAAATCCTACTTCTCGTGAGGATACCTTAAGGATTAAGTTCTTATTCCCCCTTTTCCTGTAGGTTCTTAAATAATACATCACAACAGCTACTTCACTTCTGACATGCGCATGCTGAGATCTTCGTGTCTTCTTTTGAAGAATCTGACTGTCGGATTGATATCTGTTGTGTTACAGGTACAGGTAGAAGCTAGGTCAGTGCCTCCGTAGTACCACAGGTAATTGAGGTATTGCTGAACATAGCTAACTGTTAAACTTTCCACCCCAATTTTGAGGGAGAACACCCCGGGGGGTGGTCCGAGGTTCTCCCGCCCCTCTTTTTTTACCATCAACCACTTGAGAGGACTACTGTTGTGTTACAAGAAGAGCATATATAGAACATTTGTAACAGACAGGTAAGGATAGGGGTGATCTAACCAGTACGGCCAATTTGCAAAAAGTGCTGACACCTCTATGCTAGATGACCATTGTTGACCAAAGCACGAGGGTGCCTCAGCATTAAGACCAAAACCTATCCGGCACCCTCATGATGTTCAATATATATGGCATGAAGAATATAAACTTTATCAAGATGTGGGACATTTATATGAAGACCTCAGTCAAAAGTTAATGTTTTGAATAAATATGCGGGCATCTTTTGCAAGTTAACCATTGTTCATCAAGACACGAGCCCGGCACTCTTATGAAGTCCACGAAGAATACAACCTTCATCAACATGACGGGCGCCCATGAGCGGGTCTTCATTTTAGTGAATAGTCACAGACCTGCATAAAGATGACTGCAGCCTGTTAAAGTTCAATTTAGAACTTGGAGAAGGCAACTTCCATCAAAGTGCCGTACTCTTATGATGGTTTCAGTCTTGGCAAAATCTCCATCGTAAAGGTGCCGGTACCTTTAAACAAGTGGGCTACTGTTTGCCAAGGATGCTCAGGAATAAAGGCGTCTACACTCTTTTAAAACCGACACCATCACAAAGTTCAGTGTACAGCTTGAAGAAAGCAACTTCCGTAGAGATGCTGGTACTTTTGTATCGGAGCATCTTTATTAATCCCCCATCAAAGTACCGGCACCATTATGAGGTTCATTTTATAACTTGGAGAAAGCACTTTTCGTCGAGGTGCCGGTAGCTTTTTATCATAGCATCTCTCTCACGGCTTATGCCTTGGCAAACTATCGCCGTCTTGCATAAAGGAGTCGACAACTTTAGAGATAAGGCAGACAGACATACAGCCATCCTCGCCGCGGGAAATTTCCAAAATTCCTAGTAGCCCCATCCCTTCCTGAACTTAGCCAATGTAAACTAAGATATATTCATTTCCTAACCATGAAAGTATTTCAGCCGGGCTTATTAAAACTCTTCTTGCTATCGAAAATGTGAAAGCGTTTAGGCTAAACCAGTATAGGTGGATACGAACAATTTATCTTGATTATATCTTTGAAAGAAATATCAGTCTTACCTCCAAGATATACGGATATGGCAACAACGGCCAAGATGGCCGCAACAATGAGAGCAACGGCAGAGACAAGTGCTGCTGTGCTACAACATCCTCGACGCCGCTTCCGGCTCCGCCTACTTCGGCGCTCCTCCCACACGAGGTAAGGGGGCGCCTTGCTGCCCTCGCGACCGCCCTGCTGGTGATAAGCGGAGGTGTAGGGTAGGTAATCCTCCGGGAACGATGTGAAAGCAAGATTATCCAGACGCTCCTGAAAAGAAATGGCTCGTTAGTTACGCTACAGTAATCATTGCATCAAATCAATCAGTTGCTTTCAAGACCTCCGAGCGGAAAGATCAGATAATATTTAAGACGAATTATTTTTTATATTTAATTAAACACAACTATCTCTAGATCTTAAAAGTTGGGTTAGATTTGAGATTCTCTTACTGTGAGTCACGTATGAAGAGTCGCATATGCTTACTGCATCTTCAGGAAGCGCTGATATTCTAATGCTTTAAATATTAGACTTCTTGCCCACGTTACCCAAGATGTCCTTAGGATGTCCTGTTTACGTAACTACATCTCGAATACAGAAGACATGATATCTCGAAGCACATGATATTTAATAAATAAAGGTAACAAACAACGTTAAAAAAAACGCCCCTTTGGGCGTAATGTAAAATCTGAAAGCTTTCAGATCCCCCCCCCCAATAAAGTTAGTGGCAGAGCAATGTTATTATAGATCACAAGACATTCTACAGCTTGAATCTCTTCACTAGCCTTTGTAAACATCGCACCCTTTATAGTATATTGTCCTGGGGTATTTACCAAAACGTTTCAGATTTTTTTTTTTTTTTTTATAATAGAACAACATAGTAGTAAAAGTTTTCTAAACAAATATATCTTTCATGCTAATTTTTTCAATAAACGGAAAACTAAAACAGAATAACTTTGAAAAACTTCTAAATGATTATAACTGTTGTGAAACACGAAAAAAGAACATCATATTCAGTTTAAAGACGACAAGCAGGCAAAAGTGCTGGCTAATCAAAGGGATTTTTAATTTCATTTTGATACCTTTATATGGATTTGCATAAACTGAAGTTAAATGATATGCAACGTGCAAAAAACAAAGTGGTGAGGGGCAGTTCTATATCTCCCGTTCTACTGGACCAATTGTCGATATTTAACATGCGGTTTCCATGTTTCGAAAGCGCGCCTTAGGATAAATAGGATAAATATTAGATTTAGATATCGCATTATTGTGACGTAGGTATTTTGACACAAAATCGGACTTTTTCTGAATTATTATAACACTCCCCCCCCCCTATTTCGATTCTATGATTCAAAATTTTCCTAGATATCAAATTTTGTAATTTTTGGTAAATTTTTACGAGAAATTTGAAAATTTATCATGGCACATTTGTTTTTTTTTTTTTTCAGTTCGCCAAAATAATTCACTGGGCGAACTTAATTTAGAGCAATATTTCCGTGCCTTCAGGACACGAGTGGAAAAAATGCCGTCCTTCAGACTTTCAAATATTTAACAAAGTAGGGTAAACCACATTGGGGCGGATTATCGTTTATAAGTAAATATGCGAAATTTCAAAACGCGCGAATATTTAAATTCACGTTATCTTAGGAAATTTTGAATAAAAAAACTCTAATTTTCTGTAGGTATGCTTAGAAATATATTTACTTTCTGATGATGGTAAAAGTGGTATAGGTTATAATTCAAAAAGTTTTCCGAAAAATTTATAAAAATTATTTAAAAGTACAAATTTTAAAAATAAATAAAAAAAATTGGTGAATTTTATTTGGAATGAACCAACATTTCGAATTGTGAAAGGAAGAATCAAGTTAGCTTTATAAAAAAAGTATATTAATACAAATATACCAAATTCAATTAACATGGTGGAGCTTAAATTTTAAGAATTTAAGCTAAACTAATTTTTTAAAAACTACTCGTGCGATTTTTGCAAAACTTGGCAGTTTGGCATAATTTGAGTCGCAGACTCGAAATATGGAAAAAAAAAAAATGGTACGTTATTTCAGAAAAAGTCCGATTTTCTGTCAAAATACCCATTTTAGAACAATGCTATAAATCTAATATATACGTTTAGTACCATAATGTAATTTGTTATCCAGAAAATCCTTTGGCACGTCCTTTTTTATCCTATAACGGGAAAAAATCCCACTTTTCTTTGTCATATTAACCTACTGCATTTTTTTTTCAAAATATATTTTAAAATTCTTTTTAAATCCATATAGGTAAAACACTCCCAAGAACTACTATTATGAACTACTGTTTTCAACTATGAACTTTAGTTTCACTCTTTATTGATTGCCAACACATTTCCGAATTGTTTCACGAAATCAAGTTTAATGTACAACTGGAATTCATTCCAAGGCCAAAGAAGATCTGAAGTAAATTTTGTTTCGAAATCTACGACAAGAAACACATGCAACTACTTTTATGTTACACTCGCCTCAGTTGGGGTTATTAGAAGGAGTTGTGCAAGTGACTTCTTTACGAATCAATCCCACGCTAGTTTCGTTATCGAAAGCACCGATTACGAGAGCATCGACATTTTGACCTTTCGCCAAGGACATCGATGTCGAAAATTTTTAACCCGGTACCACTATGCGATTCCTAGTAAGTGATAGTTATGGTCGAATGACCCACTATTGCATCGATGCAGAGTTATTCATTTCATTGTTTATTCCAAGTGAAAAGCTGGACACTTTTCAAAGTATCGTTAACCAGTACTTTGATGTTAGATCATTAGAAAATTCATAACAGATAATTTATTCAATTACTCATTACTATTATTACAACATTATATGCGTTATAACTTTTATTGATGCAACATTAGATACATATGGTGCACCGCCTACATAAAAATCACAGCACTTATGGAAGTAAAATAATTTTATGATTACAGAACTAAGGTAGTAATTTTATCACTAAGGGGAAAAAAGTCAACATTCGCGGATCGAAGGAGATTTTGAGGCATAGAATTCAGGGCTGTAGAGTCGGAGTTGGGCAGATTTTGGGGTAAAAGGAGTCGCAGCTGGTGTCGCTAAAAACAGGTCGACTCCGACTCCAGTATTCATTGGACAGTTTGAATTTGAAATGAGATTAAAATGAATTGAAAAAATTAATGACAAGCTGAGTTATTATTTTTTATTTATGGATTGTATATGTTACCGTGAAAGACCGAAATTCGAGAATGTCGACTTTCACCGGAGAATGTCAACATTCACCAAATACGTCGGTGAAAGATCGAATATTGCATTACATTCTTGTACATTCGGACCCTCACCGGTGTATGTCGACAATCACAGATATGCTCTGGTGTAGGTCGAAAAGAGAGGAGTATATGTACACGCTCTCATTGCAAAAGGAAGTGTTCCACAAATAAATGCAGTTGTAAAAGCAAGGCCCTCTTGTGCAACTGAAAGTGTCCTAACAGTTTAAGTTGTTGCAATAATAAGATTTGAATTCACGTAATTTAGTAAGTTTTAACTTCTATTATTTTTCCTTTCTCATTTTGAATGTACAGTGTGTTTCAAGTTCTTATATTCTTAAGTTCTTGTTTTAAGTCTCAAGTGCGTTTTTTCGCGACCGAATTACGGAGAAAAAATATAATATTTTTATGTGTTCAACATTTACCATTAGTAGATGGTGAATGTCGACATTTACCGGTGTAAGTCAGAAATAAGAGTATTTGGAAAATATTTCGGACATACAACAAGCGACTATGTGAATGTTGACATTCACCGGTGAAAGCCGACATTCTCCAGATTTCGGTGTTTCACCATAACATATACATTAATATATAGTTATTTTTTATTTTATTAACCTATTAATAAATAAATATAAGGGAAGAAAATGGATGTGATATTTGCCATTAGTCATTAAACTGATTCATTTAGTTACAAATCTCACTGATAAATTTAGATAAGCAGCAATAGCAGCAAGAACTCCCAAAATTGATGCCATTCTATGATGGAAGCGAGCAGGAAAAGGAGCAGTTATTGACCAAGCAACGCGATAAGGAAGTACATATTTGATAATAAAGAGGTTTTTAGAATTAAGAACTTTTTTAGGAGATGTAAACAACCCTAATGTTTCACTAACAGAAAAACCGTGGAATGATCTTGCAGAATTGGAAACTCTTCTTTCGATACCGTATATAGCAACAAAATGCTTCAATCTAAAGAATTGACAGGAGGCGAGAATGGAAGAATGGTATGTTTGTTCTTTCTGAAATGGAGGGTTTATTGCAGAAGGAATCTTTTCTCGTCAATGAAGAAAAGAGAAACTACAGCTAGACAATGAGATCTTGCTGGGTTCAATATATGGAGATCCGAAACACCGTATTTTCTTGTAAGACGAACAAATTAAAAAGGCAAAGAAAGTCATCTATGAACTTTCATTAAGAATGAAATTATCCTTAGAACAATTAGAGAATTCGAATCAGGACAGTCAAACTGCAGACATCGCAAATGTGTCTCTATCATCCTTTTCCAATGATGAATTAGATTTTGAGAAATATTTTTGGATAATATTGAAAAAGATAAGGCAAAGCGAATGAAAAAAAAAAAAAAAAAAAAGATACTTTAGATTATAAAAATGAAAAAATTCAAACAAGATTTCTACACAAACTTTGAAGAAATAGAGAAATATGATTGCGCTTGCAAGACACCTCTTTTAGAACTTCTAAAAATCTGTCCTGAAAGATTTTTAGAAGCAGCAGCCCTAACAGCAACAGCTCTTCCTCCTACTCAAGTTAGTGTGGAAAGTCTCTTCTCAGCTCTAAAGTTTATCAAATAGGATCTATGGCCCTCCACCAAAGAAAATCTTGCCGAATCTATACTGTTTCTTAGAAATAGTTAATGCCAGTTTTTCCATTTCATAATAAATGCTAATTAATATAAATAATTTGCTATGCCATCATTTTTTTCTGTAGCATCTATTACTTTTTTATATTAAAAACATAAGCTGTAACCCATGTGTATATGTTTATATATATGTGATGTATCAGCTTTAGTCGTAGCTTAAATAATCAGGCGATAAGTTTAAAAAACAGGATCCATTTATTATTATTAAGGAGAAATAGCAGTTACAAAATTCATATCTTCGGAGTAAATAATAAGAATTACTAATAACTTTTTGTATGAAGTTTACTGCATCGTGACATTAAAGAAAAAGCCCCGATATTCTTCTGCGAGTCTTTTTATAGCTTCTGGAAAGACCAAGGA